TGTGTTTCTGCAGCTTGTGTCGGGTTGCACCTATCTGACCCCACTCTATTTAAAACCATTTCATCCACAAATCTGAACCCGTGAAACTACTCATAATCTGCGTTGACAAGTGAAACAATAGGTGAGATCTGTAGGGAGTGAGCGTTAGACAGTCAACGAACACGGCTAAAAATAGACACAAAGAGGGGGAAAGTACAGAACGATCAGCTTTAGACAACCTGACATGTTTGCAGCATAGAGCTTTCATGCTTTAAGCATTCTATAGGCTTTATCTGTTAAAACAACAGGTATTAGTCAAACGTGCAGCATCTGCTTACATTTTTGTTAAATGAACGTGAGTATCGATTGAGAACAACAGTTTCAAATGCCTCCGACAAAGAAATGTTGCGAATGTGCACGAGTGCATTCGAAAACATCCCATGATGGCTTTAAGGCCGGACACTTGAGAGTCCTGCTTTAAGGTGTTGTGCTTTAGCTATATGTGTGCTAACATGCTCACAATGACAATGCTAGCATGCTCGTCAGAGCTAAAACAATAACTTCAGTTGAGATCAGTCATTTGACACACAGTGAAAAGGATAACCTTTATTTTATTTCTAATATCCCTTGGTAAAGAGCTTGCGGCTGCATAGCGGTAGTAATGCAAAAGCCCTCACAGGTCGCCTGGTAGCACTTTATCTTGAAAGTGTCCCATGGTCTGCGAATTTGTATTTATATAACAAAAATTTCTTCTAAACAAATCTACTCTTAACCACCAATATATGATGGACAGCCTGAAAAGTGACATCAGAGTCCTTCAAGCGAGTGAAATCCAGCCATCGACGCACTTCATGGAACCACAAATACAAAGAATTGTATTCTCTGCAGACCACGGAGGGCTGTGCAGAAATGTCCATCCCATCCCTAGAGCCACGTCTCTGACACTGCTCAAAATCGACATCCATGCAATTTATTAAAACACACCAGGTACGTTTTTAAAAACCGCCTCCTCTGGCCCCCTAAGGGAGAAACATTGATGTTACAAAGCATGACAAGCGCGCTGCGCCCGGGGTTTTCCGCACCATGATGCTGTGCAGGCTTAATGCGTTGCAATGCCATGTACAGACATGATTGATGTCAACACCCTCCTTTAAATCACCTGAGATGCATGCAGCCTCTTGAGTGTCTGGCAGCCATTTTGCAGATTCTTCTCTAATGACTTCTGGAGACAGGTTGCAGATGATGTTAGCTGACGGTCTCACGGATCACTACCAGTCTGTCAGTGATTAAGTGACTCATCTACCTCTAGTAAACAACCCCCCCCCCCACCCCCCAGTAGAGCATCTTGCATCCATCAAAGGATGCTTTTGAGTCCTTCAGCTTATCTAACTTGGAAGGAATCCATCATACCTGTTCAAAACGGGGGATGCTTTGGTCTTCCGGGAGTCGTCCCATAAACAAACACGTGCTGTTAGGACGTGTGTAAAGGCAGCAATGCTAGTTTGCAGAATGGTATCACACTCCCATAAGAGTCTCGCTTCAGGGAAATTACAACAAAAACACTTGTAAGTTATTGGTGACCTGATTTCAGGAAAAGTTGACTATAAAGAAATAGAAAAACTTTACATTTTGAAAAATGTCTGTGTGGAAATGATGTATTTGTTTCACAAAGATATTTCAACAGATTTTTTTTCTATAATACTCCTTGGAAAAATAGTGTTTAGAGACATTTGTAAAAATACAGCTGACAAATTGTGCTTTGAAAACCGTTACGTTGTTTGAGACATATTCCCCACTTGAGGAGGCCTTTTCTCAGCCCCTCTAAGCCCTCAAGTGTCTCAGCGTAGCACAAGCGGTTCTGTACAAAACCCAAGCAAGGCACTACTACTCTTCGTCTTTATTGATAGCTGCGTGAGTAGGACAAGTGAGGTGATGTAACATATCTTTCTTGAATCGCAGGGGCAGCATTGTTGGTCTGCACAACCCCTGAGGCTCAGTTTGATTCCAGCAGATTAATTTAGCTTTCTCTCTTGCGTAACACCATCTCAGCTTTCAGGCGGTCTCACTGATCTCAGGATAGACCTTTGACTCCTTGGACCGTTGGCTAGCTACTGAACTGCACTCTGTAGATGAAAGCTTAGAGAGGAAACTGTACCGCCCTTCAAAAGATCCTCAAACATCAGAATTAGACCTGATGGCAGGAAAGCTGTTTGGGAGCAGGCGAGAAAAGAAAAAATGTTGCACACGAGCTGTAATAAATTCCTTATTGTGTGTAAGAATGTAAAAGATGCATCTCATCTGCAGATGGCAGTAGCCCCGATTTCATTGCTATTGAATGAAAAAATTGTTTGTATCACATGGTTTCAGAATGACTTTTATAAAACTATTCCCCCCAGAAAGAATCACGAAAACAATGAATTGTTATCAAACTACAATAATCAACCACCAACAGATTTGATTTTAAAAGCAATGACCAATTTGTGCCTTTAACACTCGCTTCAGTAGACGTTAATACTCAGGTGGCGGCTCGTAGAAAGAATGTGACACAAACGGTAATGCATGCTGACATGTGAGCGCATTCAAAATTAATCAATGGAGTATTTAAGATGGAGAAGCTATTTGCAGAGAGGATGTGATCACATAACGTTATGCTCAATGCGCGGGTCATAAAACGAGAGGGAGAGAAGGCTGATTGGTCTGAGTCGATGGTTGTGTCAGCTGTGTCCTTCATGGTGAATGCCCACAGATCACATCCCACATCTCAGTTTGTAACGTGGCCTTTAATGCAGGATATGAAATCTCGAGTCCAAATCAAAGTGACCCTGATGACTTTATCCGGGTTACGTTCTCAGACTTTGGAGGGGAACTCCACCAACTTAAGAGGAAGTCTGTTGAGGCCTCGAGTTCTACTGCATGAACGGAAGAATTGGCAAAAATAGCTTTTTGGGTCTCTGGAGTGAGCTGCGGGAAATCTAATAAATCGCCTCGTGATGTAACTTCAGTCCTCGTGACTTTGAAAATAAATAGTTTGTGGTGAGGTAGAGAGAAATGAAGATCCCGGTCCTACATTATCTCTTTCTATCATAATAAATCTCTAAAGTTACATTATGGGGTCGACTGAAATTCTACATACTCTTAAACGTTTCGGTAACAGTAAAAAATCTGGCCTTTATCTCTATATTAGCTAAGTCTACTACTCCACTTCGCTTAAGTCAACCAGTCCATGTCAACCTATTTTATCTGATATTTTTTTACTGTCTTGCACATTTATCCCAAAAGCCAAATCAAGGTCACCTCACCAAGACCCACCAAGCCGTTCTCTACAGTCCACAGAGCTCATTTACAGCTTTACGCTCCATTTGTCTCCTGTGAAAAAAAACAACTGCGGCAGATCTCTAACCGCCACCTGGACAGATTGTGTTTGATAACAAGCCCACAACAGGTGAAATTCTTGAGAAAATCTATCAGCTGGTGCAGCATTAATACCAGACCCAAGTGTAAGCATCATTAAGAAACTAAATGAACCGTCCCGTTGAAGGAAAATATGCAAATGTGCCAGCCCGCAACACCAGACTTTGATGTGTCCGCCCATAATTCTGAGACTTAAGTGTTTGCTGAACTTCAGCCAACTGCCAAGACAACACTGGACCTTTGAGATATACCATGCTCTCCAGGAGTCAAGCTCTCGGGCTGGAGAGAAAAGCTGATAGCCAAGTGATCCTCCAGCTGACTGAGGGCCGAGGCTTTTCGGGTTTAAGCCATCAATGCGGGGGATGAAGGCGATCGATGTGGGAAAATCGCAGTAGAAACGGTGGGATTTAAGGCTGACAGCCTCGTTCACAGGCCAAGATTACACGACCTACAACCTAACATTAAAGGATATCTTCATTTTAATGGTAAAATGGAAACGGTTCTGTTATTCTATCACCCCGTTTAAATATTGGTCCGTGATAAAGGAGATTGAAGTTGAATTCTGAATTGGATCTTGAATGCTTGGAAAAAATCTCCCCAGACGTGTCCTACCCTGACATCATCCCTCCCCATTGTGTGTGTCCTCTTGGGCGGACCAACATTCTCATCTTGTTCTCCAACAAGGGCCGTGTGCTGACCAGCACCACAAGGCCAGTGAACCCCAGATAGTGGCACTCTGGCGCTGGATACCAAACGGCCCGTCACGAGATAGCATGCTTCTCGCTGTCATCCACACGGCGAGAAATGAGGTTAAATGGCACTATCTGCACAATATGGGAGCCTCCCCAATTTTATTAATAGTGCTGACAGCCTCTATTATTTTGAGAGCGGCTACGCAATACTTGGAAGAGGTTATAAATAAGTACTGAGGCGTCCACGAGGATGCCTATTTGTCTATTGTGCATAGTTTGGTATTGTTTTCCAAAATGGAGACAGCTGTTCTGGATGCATGATGTGTTTCATAAATGTATCTCAGTGTACAATCAAAACATACTTCAAATGATTCTGTGCGGTGAAAAACCGCTGTGAATAATGGCGGAGGACCTGTTAGCTCTTAATTTCTTCGATGTAATGACCCTTTAAACAGCACGTACAGCTTGTTGGAACAGATTTCAGACATTTTTTAATTTCCCCTCTAGGGAAATGTCTTTGATACTAACGACCGCGGTAACTATACAATCTCCCTAATCTCTCACCATCGTTTTCCACTGAGCTGTTGGGTGAGATCAGGAAAAGTGGAGCAGCTGTATGTAACATCACCTTTTAACCACTGATGATGAAAAAATAAATCTGACGCAGAAAAGGTTTCTAGTGGTTAAGCATTATAATAACAAGACTGAGTTCTGTGAGACTGCGGCATGCGTCATCATGCCCACATGCTGATGTCTGATGCTGTCTTTTTAAATCACTGAGGTATTCCAGTCTGGACAACTGACAGACTGACATTGCCATCCCTAGAAGCAAGATGCAAGAACTGGTGAAGATCTCTTTTATATCTTTCTCGCTCAACAAAAAACTCCAGTAGCTGTTTTTTTTTTTGCATGACTCACCCAGGAGCTGGACCCCCCTGGTGAGGCCGTAGATGTCTATCAGAGCCCACAGCGGCTCAGGGACTTGCACCCCGCTGAAGAACAGCATTGGGCTGGAGTCGTTGATGCGGTAGAACACCCGGCCCTTCTTGTCCACCCAGAAGGAGATGACGTTGCCCTCGTTGGAGAGCTCCTCCGGCAGGGCTTTCGCCCAGAAGCCACTCTGGGAAACCAGGTCGGGGCAGGCGTACTTTGGCAACGTATCAGGGTTGATCCTTGATGGGTCTTTGGATGTAAAACCAAGACGAAGAGCGCCGCTCCAGCAGCACTGCTTTTTAGTGATCTGAGGAATACATGATACATATTCAGTTTAACTAAAAATACCCACGTTCATTATTGTATTTTAGTGTGATAGCATCAATGTGTGCTCATTAACACCAAACACGAAGAGGATGATAAGAATAACATCATTTTTGCAGATATTGGACAGACTACAATTTTTACCAGATGGCGCAAGATTAAGTTTCTACATTTCTTCCTGAAGACGACCTTATATTTTATACCATATTTCACACCAATTTGTCGAAGAGTCGTTAGATAATCCTGAGAATTCAGACACACACAGACCAAGGTAGCCATCTTTTATGGTTCCGACCGTTCGCTAAGAGTCCATTTTAATCAAACCAAGTTATCTTGGTATGTTTATCACCTGCAAACGATTTTTGTCTTATTTTGAGCCTCTATTTGCTTTGCATTTACCGTGCCAGATAACACCATCCGCACATGGCAACGCTTGCCCTGCTCTCTCACTTTGGAGACATAGATGGCCCGATAGGTGAAGTGGAAACTTGTTCTAAGCTGCGGCTGCATTGGCCCACACAAGAGCAGAGGAAAGAGAAATACAAAAGAGGGGAGAGCAAAGACGGAGGATGAGGAGAGAGCGTGAAATAAAAAAACAACAAATAAAAATATGAAGAAATGAAAGCGTGACTGAGCGAAAGGACTTTAATCTACTTATGACTCACAATCGGTGTCTTCACTTTTAAAGAGTAAAGACTAATATTACAGTACACTTTTCCCCGTTAGCGGGGACGTTCTGATCAGTCCGACTTCAAAACAGGAAAGAGAACAATCTCGTGCTACAGATTGCAGAAATTTGGTAAAACAGGGCTGACGTTTAAAAAAGAAGGATAATAGTTTTTTAGTTCTTTGGTTTCGTAGGTCTCTTCATAGCCGTTTCAATTATGACCAGCCTGCATTTCCATTTAGCATCATGTCACACCAGTTTCTAGCAATGCCCCACTCATGGATCTTTCACTTGATCAACTAACCCTTATAGTCTTTTTTTCTACTGTTTAAAGCTTGTGTTGTCAAAACATGGTTGGACCATGTGAGAAATACTACTGACTCAGCTACACTGTTACCTTCAGTCGAACTTGTTCATACACCGCGATGGGTCTGTTGCTGAAGGTGATGGCGTTGCAGAAGCTGGCCTGTCTCTTGACGGTCCTCTGCAACATGTCCATGACGATCTGCGAGCCTTTAGTGCTGGGATGGAAGAGGAGAGGGAAGGACGACAAACTTCCACACGGCTGCATGGGGAGGCAGCGCTTGGGCTTGTGGTGGCATCGGTGAGACGTGGTGGGAAACGGCCCGTTCAGAGAATCTGAGCGGGGGGGGGAAAAAGTGGTTGCTTGCTTAGTCGGGCCCACAGGAGGGGAAGAAGAAAATACATTACTGAATAAATTCTTCTTGGGACACCATTTACAGTAAAATACCCTCATTTTAGATAAGATTAGAACATAATATCGCACAGTCTGGACCACCGAAGGCTTCATTTTGAACATTGTGAGCTGGTAGTGACCTCCTGTTTCTGCAACCCGCCAATTAAGTAAAAACAAATTCAAATAATCTACTTGTGCTCCGTTTTCAGCTTCCTAAGGTAGCACAGGACAACCACACATCTAGTGTACTGTGGACATGAAAAAGCTGTTTGTGCATGTTAAACTACATGTAAAAGGATCCTTGGATGAAAGCAATTGATCTCTTGGTTTGGCAATCAATGAGAAAAATGTATTTGTGAAATGTTTATGCAAAACGCTCGGTATAACAGAATAATGTTTATCACCACGGTGGAACACATTTGTACAACAATCAGTTGGGAAGAAAACCAAATTGATTAGCTAGCATGAATGGTGCTCAAACTTCATCTCCAACAGCTGAATTATCTCAGCAGAAAGCAAGCTTGAAAATCTCGCAGGAGTTCTCGATGCGTCTATGTTCAGCTGGCTGTTTATTCAAAGCTACTCTTAAAATAGCGCGGCATGGCTGTTACATGTTATTTCCAGTTGTGGCTCATGTTTTAAAGAGTGCGTATGAATCACAGTATTTTAGACTGATAGTCAAGTGCACACACTACTTCTTCTTCTTCTTCTTCTCACACATTCTTCTTGTTTTTTCCCGGTCAGGAAGTAACAAAATAAAAGATGACTCAGATGGAAACAGTTGCCTGGAGCAGAGCTTTTCCCGTGTGAACATGGTAGAATCGGGACTAAACCTCATAATAGAGCAAGTAATCTTTGGGTGTCTTAGAATGTAAAGTTTGCTCAATGTCATCACCAGCCTTATTTCACACTGACTCCCTTTCATGAGGTCCAACTCCCCCTTTTTGTGTTGCCACAGTTCTCTTCAAAGCACATTACCAAGGTCATTGTGCTGTTGTTTCTCACAGATATTTGGTTCTCATTAAACGTTAGGGAGGATTATCCAGACTGGATGGATGACGTGGTAAAATATATACAAGTACATATAAATATATAAATATCTCATCAAGTGGTTTGATGCAGTTTACAGTGCTACAGCACTTGAGTCCTCTCTACAATTACATTTCGAAGGACTTCGGGCACTATAAAATGAATAAATCAGGCCTCATTAACACTCATTCATCCCTGATAGCTGTGTGTACTTTCACACCTAAATTTGGAAGACTGTGGAGGAGTTGCTGTGAGAGAGACTGGCTGGAAGGCGACTATTCTTGCCTTCTATCGAGTGACCTTCGAGGGGTCAAGAGGTTTATATTGTACCCCAGAGACAAATCAATCAATACTTTCAAGATTGGCAATGACTGATCATGTGACTTCTGAGACCAGCTGTGGTATAATGACACCATTGGCTGTTAAAGCCTTTAATTTGTCGAGGTTAAACTAGGGTCTAGGAGGCTTCGCCTTCACATCACAATCGCAGAGGCTCTGCCAAGTGTTCTGGGCTCACTGCGGCGTGTTTGTTAAGCTCTTCTCATGCTCTTGTCGCCACAGAACAATGTTGAATTGTGCTCTGTGCACAACAATGGCCTTAAATGAAGTCATAACAAGTCCTTCAACCATATTGCATCCATGATGTCATGTCAGACGTGATGTCTTCTGGAAAACGGATCCACCGGTTTGTATTGTACTCCATTAATGACCAGGCCCAATGGTGGAGAATTAAAGGAGCAAGGCCCTATAACATGTTGTGTTTACAGCATTCAGAGCACACAGATTGAACGTTGAATGAAGTTAGATAAGTTAATGTATTGAATAATAAAAAATAACACCTTTTGATATAATGTAAATGACAGCGAGGTAGAACGAAAAGAGCTGATGGCTGTTAAAGTGTGTTTATGAAGTCGTACAACCCGACGCAGACGTCGGGGGGAAACAGTGACCAGAGCCCCGTCGCGATGAAAGCGAAAGTGTCATGACAAAAGTCAGATGAGCAATTTAAGAAAGGATAATCTTACTTAATGCACAACCTGACTGGCTTGGCTGTCATTAATTGGATGGCACTAACATAGCAGAGACAAAGAAAGGCCCTGGTCAGTGTCACCTGGCCTGTTACGCTCTTACTTTGTTTTTTATCCCCAGGCTCGGCCTCCGTAAGGAGCCCCAACAGAGGCCCTGATGTGTGTGACGTACGTATGGAACCCCTTGGGCCTCTCTTGCAGCACGAGCCCTCGCAGGGTCAGACAGAGCCAAAGATGTGTTTCGCTTTTGCGAAATTTCACAGTGCTTGTGGTTTCACTATAACGATTCCTTTTTAAAAACATGTTTCTGTATGTAACACTGTGCATCAGTCCTGTTGCTTTTACAAGGCTGTTCATTTTTTAATCTTGGGACATGTTATGAAATATATCCTAAAACCCCAATGGGCTGTTTCCTTCACAGGCAACATTGTGCTTTGTAGATACCATTTTTGAAGGGATTTCTTTTTAGTTTCACATGAATGACTTTTTAGCCCCAAGGCTTTCAGGTATGGTCAATGTATTGTTATGTACACTACTGTAATGTTTAGGGCGGCAACCAACTGTCAGGGATGCGGGTGGGAGGCAGGACTCAAATGCAGACTTCACGGAAAACAAAAGACTTTAATAGTCACAAGATCCAAAATCAAAAGGCCAAGGGGCAAAAACACACAGGAACCAGGGGAAAAACAGCAGGCATGAAACTATGAACATCCACGACGATAGACAATGACGCGACAAGTGACACAGGAGACACACGGCTTAAATACACTAGGGAGGTGCAGGTGATTGGACACAGGTGGAAACTATTAGACGATCACAGGGGATGACGGGACAAGGCAGGAAGTGAAGTTACCCGGGGACACGAGTGGCAGAAAACTACAAAATACAACAGGAAGTGAACCACACCGTGACACCAACAAGTATTTTCTCAAAAAGTGAATTGATCATTTGGTCGAGAGAACTCAAGGTGAATCCATCAAATGTCTTGTTGCCTCCGAGTAAGAAAGAGGATCCCAAAGATTGTCATCATAGAAGACCCGAGGAAACCAGAAAGAAAGTGTCAGGAGCTGGAGGCATTAAGTTATTTCAATGAATCCAATGTTAGTTGTAATCCCAACTAAATGCTCATTTGAAAACACTTCTGACATAAAAATAACCTCTGTCACACTGTGCTATCTAAGCTTCAGTAATGCCAAATGGGAAGCGCTGAATGATTCATGATCCCGTGAGCTGGACGGGGCCCCGACAACATGACCGGGATGACATATCCAGGGGCCCTGACCGAGGTCTCGTCTGAGGGCCAGGGATTTCTAGTAGGACATTCCAGGAAAGCAGCATTCTCACATTTAATTGGAAAGGGAGAACACTGCCATCTTTGCTTAGACATCTAAGTACTTGTTATAAAATAGTTGCTGACTAACTTTCTGAAAGGTGAAAACTGTTTGACACAACTTGATATCCAAGAGAGTATAAAGATCAAAGGGCATAAAGTTGTGACACAGTTTACCAACATGGAGACATTCAGGAAGTCTGTGAGTGAATCACTTTCAAACAAATCGAAATGTGGCAAAAGTTCCAAACCAACTTTGGCTGTATACTTTCTGACTTTGAATGGTACTGCGAGGCAGATTCACAGAGCAGAAGAACAATCGGGAGCAAAATACATCTCTGGGATGTTTATATAACATGATAATGCAAAGGGATACCAATGCACAGCCAGTCGTGACTTCCAGAAGGTGGGAAACTTGGCTTCTTTCACTTCTCGTTTATTTCAGTCAGCCAGGACGCCTACAGTCTCCATGCGGACAGCCCCGGCGGCTTCAGCAGCACGCTTCCAACCCGATCACATCGTCTCCAAAAATCACTTGATCCATCACCAATAAAGAATCAATACCCGTGATGGCCGATGGGCTTACCGTAGAAGGTATTCCTGGTGATCTGACCTCCCATGGCTGGATGCAAGGTGCGCGCTCACCTTCCTCCTCTTTTCAACTACCCGCGGGATCCACACTGTTCACAGTCAGCTGTGCGTCCTCGGCGGCGACATAATTGCACCAACACGTAATTTTTTTTTTTTTTTAAAGTGTCCCGACGGTCAGCGAGCGGCGGGGTTTGTGTCCGCGCAAAAAGCCTCGTCGTCGTCGACGCGCAGCGGCGGGTCCGCGGCGCTGTGCGGCGCGCGCTCCACGACGCGCGGGGACCGCGCTGGAAATAACGCGCGGGGTGGCGGAGGTGGGGCTTCACCGGCACTCTTCACGCTGCGACCTCCCGAAAGGAGGACGTCTAGATACGGCTGCAAGACTGTGTGGGACCAGCTGGGGACACTTGTCTTCCCGTTGGCTGCGTTTTAGACTTCTGTGGACACTCGAGTTGTTATGTGTTTCGGAATCGCTGCAGTGGCCAAGCAGGAAGGTCCCGTATTTCAACAATTCGACAAGTCCAAGATGATGCGCGGTCTCCAGGGTTCCTAACCCTCATTCCTAGAAACGCACACTCAAACACACCCACGCACACGCACCGAGAACGAACTAACCTGTTTGATGCCCACACCCACTTCCCCGTCGTTCTCTCTCCAAACTCACGTGTTTGACTTTGTTTATTTTCAGTTGAGATGTTGTTAGTAGATGGAGAGATACAAGTACAAGGAGGGGAAATATTCTAAAATGTTTCGTTTCTTTGGCAGAAACCCACTGAAACATTTTTTTTTTAAAGACCCATTTGGAAGCTGACCGGAAGTACATGAGATGTCCCGGAATTGTTGGATGTTTGTTCCAACCTGCTGAAGGTTTAGGGCTTTGCTGTTCTATATTCATCAAAGCATGATCTTTACTCAACATAGTGTTTTAGAATTTTCATTTAAGTTCCTGATGAATTCTACATGCCGGCGGCCGAGCTGTGGAGACTCAAATGTGTAACATCAAGAGGACGTTGCACAAATAAAACTCATTCAGTTTCGAGGATATCAAAGTATCTCCTCATTTTTCATGATTTTTTTCCTACAAAAACCAGCAACAGGTGTCAATGAGGAAAAGCTGGTGAATGACCAAGTAAGACTCAAGTAACCACAGAAGTGTCGTCGCAGAAGTACACAAGTAGGCTGACAAATAAACAATCTCGACTTGTCCTTCAACGGCGGTTTCCTGGCTGAGCGATTGGTGCCTGTTGAACATTTACTGTAGAAGTCGGAATACACCGTGTTCACCTCTTCAGGCTTTCAAAAGTGAAAGTATTCAAACGTTCGAAAGATACAATTCAAAGATATATTTCATGGATTCTATTTCACGCTCTTGGGCCACACAATGTTTCCTAGGACCACCTTTTGCCCGCAGGTGGTAATTTGAGAAACTCTGCTTGACATTATGTGCAATATTTTTATAAATAGCTTAATGATGTTTAATCAAATGAATTAACCTCTTAAATCTTTTTAAAGTAAAATAGTGGCTTGTTCAAAGCAGCCACTTCCCCAGATGTGCCTTGTCGCTTTACTGTTAACACAACCTGTGTCAGAAGCCAGGCCTGTGAAATACTGCATTGGCTTGGTAGCATGAACCATATTCTCATGCTGTTTATACAAACTGATTGCGGTGTACTTCACTGTCTGTAAGCTATTTGCAAGCAGGGATAAGCCATTCGACTGGGGGTTTTTTTTGTGGTTGGGGGTTGCCGGGTTATGCAGCATATTCCGTAGTGAATGTCTATGAAAACTTGTCAAGCTGAATTCATTCGTCACAAGAAATTGTAGATAAACCAAAAATATCAAAGCAAAAAGTGTGAACAGAACACTTAGGAATTCATGGCATGGACCCTGTGGCTATCACGGTCATGCTTAATGGAGTTTGACATGCCACCTGATCGCTGGGCTGTCACAATCTGATTGGCTGTTCTGTAATACAAGGAGATGTGTTGTTCACCGTAAAATAATCAAATATGACCTGCAGTGATATCGAAGCAGCGATCGCTCACTGAGGAATATGGCCAATTTCACCCGAATGAAGCTTTGTATTATTTGAAATATTTTTGTGTCTCTGTGGTCATTTCGCTCCTCTTTGTAGTCTTTGCTTATCTTTGTTGGTTCACTGTGCCGAAATGGTCAGTTTTCTTCTATTTGTGGTTATTTCAAGTGTTGATGTGCTGGTTCTGGGACTCTTTGATGAGGGTTTTTTTTCTCTCTGGTGTCATTTTGAACTTCTTTTGTAGTTTATTTTGCATCTCTTGATAGAAAACTGCTATTTCTTTTATCACATTGGGCCTTTTTGGTGTCAGTTTGCCTTTTCATGTCTCTTTTGTAGTCATCTTATGTATTTATTTGGGGTTGTTTTCTTCTCCATCAGGAAATGTTTACTGTCTGGACACAGCCCGCTGAGAGGGATGGTGGGCGGTGGGGGGCGGCCTGGGCTCTGGTTAGGTAATCAATCCACAATCGATTTAAACTAAAACACTTCTACACTCTCTGCAACTTTTAAAACCATCATTAACACCAAAGATCTTTTGTAAAATAGTTTTGAAGCTTTTCGCTCAGAATTGAATACACACTGTCTGCCCTGACAGAATAGGCTGACACCTCCTCCCACAGTAGATTATTTGTAGATGGGCGCCTGGCAGGCAGCAGCTGCCTGCTGGGGTGTGCTGGCGCGGGGCCTCCGCCGACATCTTGACAACCTCGTTTGAGGCAGCCGTTGTGTACTTCTTTCTCTCTTCTGGGATGATGATGTTGAACAAAAACACCATTCAACTCCGGGAGTTTGGCCCCTCGCCCTGCAGCCATATGCAAAACATTACAAAGCAACACAAGAACACCATAAGATCCTCTCCGGGGGAGGTGGGGAAGGGAGGAGGAGGGGGAGGGCGGCTGGCGTCAGCAGAAAAGGAAGCGTGCACCCGGAAGGCATGTACCAAAGGTAAAATCAGGTTGTCGCACAACGTTTAAAAGTGACAGCGACATGAGGGAGATACCAAGTTCATTGATCATGAGATTAGCTAGAAGGGAATCCCACGCAACGTTCATGGAGAATTACCAGGATCCATTTTATTTATGGACCAAGTAAGCGCTCAGAAAGAATTAAGACTTTTACTTAGTCGCTCTGTGTCTCGACGTTTAGTGTCAAAAATGTGCAGCAAATAAGAAAACACGCATTCAACACGGTAGGTATTCATATGGTTTACTGTCAAAGTCAAATGCATTTTGTACTTGATCATTTTTTTATAGACAGTTTTCCGGACGCTTCAGCTGTTTTTAATTAAAGAGTTGTGGATGTAACAACATTAACTAAAAGCATTTTAAGCTGGGTTCAGATTTTATTTGGTCTGGTTTGCAGTGATCCAGACACTGTGCAGCTGCAAGGATCATCATTATGATGTGCTTTGAGGCCAGGGGGGATTAGGAATTCACTCTTTACTCATTTACCTTTTGCCTGTCGTCCACAGCACTGGATCTTTGTCTTTTCTCAAAGGGAAAACACCGCTGACGGATAAACACACCCAACAGCACAACTTTACACCCTGATTCCTGGGTCAGGGAACATGTTTTCCATGTAGGGTAACCACAGGGGAGATTAATGTAGTGTTTACAAAATATTTAGAATGACTGTATGATTAGCAGCATTGTTTTAGGTTATACTGTACTTTACTCTGTATGTCTGCAAAAGTTAACGCTTATTTAGATGGAATTATACCTTTAGAGATAGTCATTTGAAATAATATTTCGTCATTGTGTATTACTTATTGTGCTTGTATGATTTTCAAAGTACTTTTAAACTCCATTTGTATGTTTTTTTTGGTTGTTCAAGCTTAATGCTTTACTATAAAATGCATGTTATTATTGTCTCCCCCTAATGTTCAATCAAAACTCTGGTGACATATCAGTGAGAAGACGAACTGCTGGATGGATGCTGCGTTCGACCTCACAGCTTAAGTTAAAAGGGCTGGTGTTCTACAGCCACGGTCCTGCGTTAAATAAACATCACATTTCTCAACTCATGCACCATGATAATCCGTTGTTTGTAAGCAAAGAATTGCAATGCGGGTCCCGTCATTATGCTCTATATTTTCCTCAGTCAATATGCTTCGTCGTAAACAAACGACAGTCCCACCACGTCGCCAGAGCACCGCTGGGGAGGAATATAATGAGGTATTCAGGGAAATTTGACCGACCGTTTAATGTTGGCTTTCTTTTGTTTCTTTCATTGAATAGACGGTAGATCAGCAGATCAACAGATGACGACAGTGGCTGATTCATCTGCGGCTGTCAGTCAAAACTTTACTTCGGTTGTGACTGGCACGGGGTGAATAGTGACAGATTTCATCCTGAAAAAAGAAATGTTTCTGTAGTTGGTCGGCAGTTTTAGGCCTACAGACAGTAAGCTGTATGTTATAAAGCCCTTTTATGTGCTGGTTCTGTGCTCTGAGCAAGTCCCGAACTATGATTATGTTAACTTAATTGCATAAAGGCCCATGACTTCCAGGAGAGTCTGAGGCTGCATCGTAGGATGGGAGCTCACTGCTAGACGAGATGCAGCATCGTAATAGATTTTTCAGTTTACAGGAAACCCATAAAAAGAGACCACGTTAGCTCTCGCTAAGACTTTGTTGCAAGTTGCAGCAAGCTAGAGTGTAGTTGCTGCACTTTGGTTTGTAGCTCATTTTTTGTCAGTTCTTAAAAATCTGTCCATAATGCTTACCACAATTACACATTTCTGGCATAAGCATTTCCAGCGGTTTGGGGACATTTAAATAGTCCAATTCTGCTCTTAACCGTGACCAAATATTTAGTCTTTTGCATTTTGGGTGTGTTTGGGTTGATAGTGCTCTCGGATTGTTTCTATTATTACAGTTTTTATAGTGCTTCTCTGGTAGTGGAATTTTAATTAAGGTGTTTTATTGTGTAGATGATTTAAAAGAAAGCTTATTGTGTTTTGATGTATAACTGCCCAAAGGTTTGGCAGATCCTAAGAGATTTTGGTGCACGTGTTTTGAGTAGTATTTTTGGTTTGCCTGAGGATTTTTTTATTTTTTTTAATGAATTCACTGTAACCCATGGGTTTTGTTGAAATGAGCTTCAGTTAGTCATCACTGTTTGGTATCCCTGAGACCCAAGGCTGTAGCAAGATTGCTAATTTTGTTTTAAAAAAGAAAAGACTACAGTATCTGTACAGTATAGTTTCTTATATTTTATACATATATATATATATATATATATATATATATATATTACTTTGTTATCGTACATTTTAACCTTAATTATCTTTGGATAGCTATGTTCAACAGCGTTTTTCAGCTAATGTGGTACATTATTTTGAAGTTGACTTCTGAAACAATCATCAGATCAAAATCCTATTCAAATGCAATTCTCAGAAAATATGGAAGATCATGAAGTACAAGGGCGATAAAACAATCTTTCTGCGGATGCGAACAAGGTGTTTAAAGCTGCATTACCGCTAGTAAGTGGAAATCACATATCTCCAACAAAAGCATG